CCATACAGCATCAGCGGGGGTGACTTGAATGGAGGATCCACTTCCAAGATGGCTCACTCCTGTGGTTACCCAGTTGGGGATGACTGCTGGCTAGAGCTCAGCAGGACTGAGGGCTGGGGCCTCTCAGTTCCTTTCCATGTGGCTCTCCTTATGCTGGTTTTCAAGAAGCAAGCATTTCAAAAGAAAGCATCTTTCCTGGTTAGGCAAAAGCCAAATAACCCTTAGGATCTAGCCACGGAAATCTCATGCAATCATTTCCACTGTGGTGACAAGCCTGCCCAGATTCTCTCTATGTGAGAACTACCATGACCACATTGTAAGAAGAGAAGGTAGGATGGGAGATATGGCCATCTCGAAAAACACAATCTACCACATGCAAGATACAACACTGGGCTGATCGTCAGTCCTTGACAGTCTACCTGAGCTTAGAAGTTCTCAAAAGGTGGACCATGGGCCATTCCGATCCATGACAAAAGTTCCATCATACATGGAAAAATAAATATAACAATAACAGAACTATAATAAAGGTTAATTTATTCAACTTAAAAGGGGAAAGCCTTACACTGAGATCATATCATCCTTTCTTTTCTGGTGTTAAAATGTCTTCTATTAACTGATAATGATAGGAGATGGTAGCTATTTTCTTAATAATGTCATATCAGTCTCCTCCCTTTATTTTTTTTTACCTTTTTCTGGTCAAAAAAACACAAAAATCCAAAGAACCACTGTGTAAAAGTTATCATAATTGGAATTTAACCTTTGATTGATGACTATTGACTCCCAAATGATGTGCAGATCTTCTTGATTTACCCGTATGCAGTTCAACTGGTAAATGATAATTACTCTGTGGATCTCAGAAAAAGCCACACAGCTACCTGTGTAACAGCTCAGATTCAAAGCTTAAGGGCATTTTAACTCTCTTATGAATATACAGAGGGTGCCAAAAAAATGTATACACATTTTAAGAAAGGAAAAAACTGTATTAAAATTGTAATACTTAATATATACCAATAATGTTTGTGATCTTATATCTTGTATCTCTTTATAATTGCAGAAGTCAAATGGGTCTTGAGTATTACAATTTTAATACAGTTTTTCCTTTCTTAAAATGTGTATATATTTTTGTCACCCTCTGTATATACAATTCAATCCAAAATAGGTAACAATGGACTATATCTCTCAAAACAGATTAAAGTTGTAGATCTATAGATAGAAATAAATGTTCAGATCCTCATATCAAAGGTATCTTTGAAGTGAGGTCCAAGAATCCATTGGTAATCCCTAAAAAAGTAACATGAAAATAGGTCAGAGGAGAAACTAGACAGAGTCATAATGTTGGATGTGTATCTGGCTTGTCCTCTGGGGGAATAGAAGTTGAAATGGGGTAAGATGTGGAGACGAGATTTGGGAATCATTTTTATAAAGGTGAACAAGCTCTATTAATGAATGAAGAGGATCTGAGTTCTATGTGTAATATAGCACTAAATGAGAACTCCTCAACTATTATTTACCAAATTACCATCTTATGGACTCTTTTAGGTACGAACGTGAAGAAGACCAAACCCCTACCCTCAAAAAGCTCACAACTCACATGGAGAGACAGACAGTGAACAGTTAAATAGAACACAGCATGAGAGCACTAGCATTACAGGTGCCCTACAGAGGGAAGGATTCGTTCTTCATAATACTGGGGATAGGGAAGGTCATGGGGTGCTTCACTGAGGGTTGGCATTGAATTTTGAGAAGTTCTCACAGCTGGGAGCATGATGAAGAAGAGATGAATTGCTGGTGAAGAAAAAAGGTTTAAGTGGCTCGGCAGCTCCAGCCATGTACCCCAAGGCTGATGGGTTTGAACCCGGCCTGAGCCACCTAAATAACAATGACAATTGCAACAAAAAAATAGCCAGGCATTGTGGCAGAGACCTGTTGTCCTAGCTACTTGGGAGGCTGAGGCAAGAGAATCGCTTAAGCCCAGGAGTTAGAGGTTGCTGTGAGCTGTGATGCCACAGCACTCTACTGAGGGTGACATAGTGAGACTCTGTCTCAAAAAAAGAAAAGAAAAATTGTTTAAGAAAATATGGGCCTGCAGCTAATTAAGCCAACCATGCTCGTTTCCTCCTGGGGGCCTGGTATGCAATGGCTGCAAACGCAACTTCCTTGGCAGTGTATGCAGCCTGTTGCTTGCATAGGTTGCTCTAAGGGACCTTGGAGACATTCCTTTCCAATACATGTTCATGTGTTAGACCTTGTGCTGTCCCCAGTCTAGGCTCCAGACAGGTATGCATGGTGCCTTTGGAAAGCCCCAGAGTACTGTGGCCAGGGTTCACATTGGCCAAGTCATCACGTCCATCCTCACCAAACTACAGAACAAGGAGCATGTGATTGAGGCCCTTTGCATAGCCAAGTTCAAGTTCCCTGGCCGCCGGAAGATTCACATCTCCAAGAAATGGAGTTTTACCAAGTTTAACTCAGATGAATTTGAAGACATGGTGGCTGAGAAGTGGCTCATCCCAGACAGCTGTGGGGTCAAATATATCCCCAATCATGGCCCCCTAGACAAGTGGGGAGCCCTGCACTCACGAGGACTTACGCTGTGTTGCCTATCAATTGTGCCTACCAATAATAAATCCTACTTCCTGTCCAAAAAAAAAAGTAAAGTATAGGAATTGTGATTGGCATGAAGTGGCAATACAAGTTGAAAAGTTTGATACATCAGGAGATGCATCAAAATCTACAAAAAGTTTGAAGATAAGGATTAAGAGATGAATAAAGGGGAAAAGAGAGGTTTATTCTATACTAGGAGATCTCCAGAAATGGCACAGTCTTATTCAAGAATCTTTGAAACGAGATCCAGGAATCCTTCCCTACCCAGAAACAACACACCTGGAAAGTAACATTGTACTCAAGGTAACTCAGATGCAGGGTGAGAGTAGACAATAGAAATGGCCCCTGACTTTCTCCTTTACAGACACCAGACTTCCCATAATATACTATATATTAAGAGAATGGAACAAACACAGATCTTCCTTGTACATAAAGACCCACTGGATATACCAGAGAGGAGGTGAGAGTTACTGCACTGTTCTTCTGCTTAAACTGAAATTGAATTTCTCGTACATTAAAAAGGTCTCTAAACTTAAAAATGTGCAAGACATTTAATGCCGGGTTATCTCAAAACCATGGTTAAGAAAAAGTCAACTGACAAATTATTACTAATTACTCATTTGTCTTCCTTCCCCCCCATAAAGAAAAACTAGTTTTTCAGACTGGTCAGGACAGGACAAAGGAGAGAAATTCAAAAGAACAAACAATAAATGCTTTTTAAAAAACAGTTTAGG